CCAAGCCAAGGGTTGAGATCCCCTTACCGGTCATCTTTTAAAAAAAAAAAAAAAAAGAACTGGAGATTTTGGCCTTATCCTCACCCAACACAACCCCTGCAACACACACACACTCCATTTACACCCAGCAGCATGGTAGAATGAGAATTAAGAGACCCTCAGAGCCCCAGACTTAGTGTCAGGAGTATAGGATTCAAATCAATGATAGGCTCTGCTGTCAATCTGCTGTGACTTTTGCCTCCTCTCTTGAAGCCTCAGTTTCCCCATCTATAAAATGAGGAGGAAAAATGCAACGAGTGTCAACCATGACTGCTCACTAAAATCACATGGGAGAGTGTGCAAGCAATTTTGTTTTTTAAAGGTAACTAACTGGTAAGGGGATCTTAACCCTTGACTTGGTGTTGTCAGCACCACGCGCATCCAGTGAGCAAACCGGCCATCCCTAAATGGGATCTGAACCCATGGCCTTGGTGTTATCAGCACCACACTCTCCCGAGTGAGCCACAGGCCAGCCCATGCAAACAATTTAGATGCCTGGGTTCCACCCTCAGAGATTTTAATCTAACAGATCGGTGGTGTGGCCTGGATATCATATTTTTATAGGTTGGCAGATGATTCTAATGTGAAGAAGACTAAATAAATCCATAAATGGGTTTTAGAGTGTTTGGAAATTCCATGGAAGAAAGCAGAATTGTGTGTATAAACTCCCAAAGGATCCTGAGAGCATGAAAAAGTTAACAGGATCTTTAAGGAACCTAACAGGTTTTTTTAAAACTATAAATAAAATGAAAACTCAAAGCTTAGGAGGGATACAGTGCCACCTGCTGGTTTCACTTTGCATGTGTAGTATCCAAACACCTGCCAATGCAATGCAATACAATTTATTATTTAGTAAGAGTGCCAACTCAATGTGCAAGGCATTTTGATGTGTCTCTAGGACACAGAGAGATAGAGCTCCTTTTCACATGAAATTCACAAGCTAGAAGGGACAATGGGAATGTACATACAGCCCTTTGATCCAAAGTGGGTGGTGACACGGTCCCAGCAAGGTTCTGTGGTAACACAAGATGGAAGCCAACACAGGGCTGGCTTCATGGGCTTCAACCCGTGTGTTTAGAAGGACTTTGCACTTGATTTCATCATCTCCTGCCTTGAAAGTTTTAGTAATTTTTGGACAAGGAGCTATAAATTTTCATTTTGCTCTGGGCCCACAAATTATCTAGCTGGTTCTACCTAAGGAGTTGGGGACATTTTGAAGGAGGTGACATCTGACCTGGGTCTGGAAGTCAGGGCAGTAGTGGAGAGAGAGGAAAGGAGGAAGCATATTCTAGTCTGGAAGGAGAGGTGCAGTCCTTAGACTTTGGTGACTGGGTGGTGTGTGGGGGAAGGAGACAGAAGATCAGCTGCTGTGAAGGGAGTGGAGAGAGAAGAAAGTTCGATGTTAGATGGAGTCAGGCTCAAGTACCAGGAGGACCTCCAAGGACAGGTCCAGCAGCTGGAATTCAGAAGACAGGCCAGAGCTGAAGCTTCGTGGTCACAGACCTCCAGGTGGGTACCTGGGTGGGACCAACAGTTATGGTCCCCTAAGAGGGGTGAAGAAGACAGAGCTGCACAGCTGGGCCTGGGCTTTCAGTCCAACCTAAGTTCTTGGTTTTCAGGACTCCTGCCTTGGGGGATGGAAGAAGAAGCCCTTGAGCCCAACTCCCCATATGATATGCTATAAAATTCCTCTTAGCTTCCTTATGAGTGGCTTCCTGCTTCAACACCAGCATGGGACAGCGAGCTCAAACTCTCCTGACCAGGCACTCATTTGGGGGACATTTCCCATTCAACTCGTTCTCTGTATTCCTCAGCCAGGATTCACCTTCAGGGGCCACAAGGGGAATTTAAAAAGCTTTCCCCCCATCCCTCGCAGTAGGTTTCAGCCTGCTGATTGCAGATAATAGATCTTAGTCAAGGGCCGGCCCGGTGGCGCACTGGATAGTGCGCCGCTTGGGAAGCGCGGCGGCGCTCCCGTCCGAGGGTTCGGATCCCATGTACAGACCGGTTCCCGCTCACTGGCTGAGCGAGGCGCGGGAGCAACGCCGAGGCTTGCGATCCCGTTGCCGGTCCCGGTCCGGTGCGGGGGCAACACTGAGGATTGCGATCTGTTGCCGGACACGGAAAAAAGATAAAAGACAAAAAAAAAAAAGACTTTGGGGAGCCAAAAGAGCAAACCCTATTTCCTCCCCTGTGGGAAATGTCAGCTTCTTCTTTCTCATGGTTCTTTCCATGTTCTGGGGGAGGAATTTTACAGGAAACCAGCTTTTTCTCAGCAAGTCAAGGAAGAGCCCAGGGGGTTAGGGCCTGGAACCCACATTTTAGACTAGTTCTCCCCATTGTGCACCACCGGAGGCTAGTACTGGTAGCTGGCACCTGTGATATCTGTGGTCCTTGGTTCTAGTAGCCCAAGCCAGGATCCTGCCTGGTTTTGTTTTGCTTCCCTGTGAAGTACAGACTAGACAGAGGAGGGGTAGGCTGATCAAGGCTGGATTGAGATTAGGTCCGTGGAATGCACGCAGGAAAGCCCTCCAAGAGTTCTGCCTGGAGTTGTCCTAGAAAGGCTTTGCTCTGAAGGGATCCTGTGTTTACCTCTGGGCCCGGGGTGCATCCTTGCTTGAGATAGGGGGATAGCTATTAGGGTAACTCATCCCCAAAGCTGACACATAGCCCCCTGGAAAGGGACAGGGGCTCAGCGATGCCAGCTGACTCTGAATACCATTCCTCCTCTAGAAAGGGTCAAAAAGGTAGGCTCTCTGCTCCATCAGACTTGTGGTCCCTTTTTCTTGGCAGGTGCCCTTTTCTGTGTGTGAGGGGGCGAAGGTACACTGAGGCACCTCCGTCCTTGGGGAGGTGGGTCATACAGATCAGACTCTACCTTGGATAGGGGTTGATTCTAGTACAGAGGAAGAATTACTGATCGCCAGGACTGCATCCTACTGGGCGTGTGGGAGAAGGAACTAGGGTGACAGTTGTGCTTGTGTCCCAGGACTGGACCCAGTGCTCCAAGTGGGACCTGGTACTCTAGCAAGACCCAGTGCTCTAGGTGGGACCTGATGCCCCAGGTAAGACCGAAAGCTCCAGGCAAGACCCAGTGCTCCAGGTGGGACCTAGTGTTCCAGGTGAGATCTAGTAGTCTGAAGAGACCCAATGCTCCAGGTGTGATTGGCACTCCAGTTCAGATCTAGTACTTCAGGCAGGACCGTGTGCTCCAGGGTAAGCTGGCCATGCCTCAGGAGCCTGTGCCCATGCCTGGGTGTGTGAATCTATGAGTTTTCTCTTCAAGAGGAGGTACAGATGCCTGGGGGGTAAATGCCCCGGACTTGGCTCCTCAGAGTGTGTGAAATTGTGTGTGAGACACAGCGGGGAGCCAGAGAGAGACAAAGATGGAGGGATAGGGACGCACAAATACACGTACAGACGGAAGTTACTGAGACAGAGAGAGAGAGATTGACTGACTTAGAGGCAGTGAGAAGAGACAAGGACAGGGACACCCACACACTGGACACAAGAGGGCATCACTAGGGTTGTGTCTTCATGTACGTATAAGGACGAGTGAGTGACCCGTGCCCGGGTGGGGACCTCGGCGGCGGGCGCTACGTCTGGATGAAGAGGTGGAAGTTGGTGCGCGTGAACTCGTGGTGGATGCTCTCGAGGAGCGCGTCGGCGTCGGTAGCCAGCTCGGGGGTGCCGGGGGGCCCCAGCCGCGCGCTGTACTCGGGGGTGTAGGTGAAGGAGAAGGCGCTGTGGTAGAAGAGCCCGTCGGCGCGCACCAGGCTCACAGGCACCGTGATGGGAGTGCGCAGCCAGCGCCAGTCACTGCCGAAGGCGGACACGTCGGGCACCACACACACCAGGGACCGCGGGCTCCTGGGGGTCGTGCACAGGGTTAAAGCTGCAGTGACTCTGATGACATGTACCCCCAACCCCACTCGCTCCTCGAGGCTAAGGGAGGCTGCCTTCCCCACCCCATACCTGTACATGGTTTCTGCCTCCACGTCCCCGAACCACACCTTAAGTCCCGCGTGGAAATTCTCTCCGTGGAGCTCCAGCGTGGCCACGTCGCCCCCGCCGTTCAGCTGGGGGAGGGTGGGATCAGGTGGTGTGGGGGAGGGGGGACCAGGATCCTCTCTCACTGGCACCCTTCTCCCCCGGTGCAGGAAGGGTCCACGCCCTCCCATCGCCTCCCAGCGCCCGGATTCACCTCGAGGGTGCTGATGAGGGGCACCGGAGTGACCAGCTCCCGCGTGCATGCCAGGCTGGTGCTGAAGCAGAATTCCACTGACTCAGTGCCGATGATAGTCCAGCAAGAGCTGTCATTGAGCAGAGCCCTGTTGGCCTCCTTGGGGCAGGGAGAGGCCTGGGAGGAGACCGGAGGCGATGGGGCTTCAGATGGGGGCCACCAGTGTGGGGGACCCAGCACAGTGCCTGGGCATCCGTATTAGGCCGAACCGGGTTCCAGTCCCAGGCTCTGCAGTTTACCTACTGTGAGCTTGGACAGGACCCTTAAGTTCTCTCACTTAGAGTTAAATACACTCGTTGGACTAGCTGTTATCTAATGGTCTTATTTTCTTAGGATTCTAGAATTCCATTTTTTAACATTGTGCAATTCTATTCCCTAACATTCTATAATTTTTCATAGTCTGTGGAATAGAATATTGCTGAAAAATAATAATTGTTTTTTTCTACATATTATGATTCTATCTCCTAATATTCTATTATAGTATTCTTTTTTTTTAAAGATGACTGGTAAGGGAATCTTAACCCTTGACTTGGTGTTGTCAGCACCGCGCTCACCCAGTGAGCGAACTGACCATCCCTATATGGGATCTGAACCTGTGGCCTTGGTGTTATCAGCACCACACTCTCCCAAGTGAGCCACAGGCCGGCCCTTATAGTATTCTTTTGGGTGTAATATTACTTTATAATACTTATTATTTTCCACATTCTACAGTTCTATGTCTTAACATTCTATGATTCTAATTGTCTTTGCTCAATAATACTCAATACTATTACCTACTATGATTTTTATATGCATTCTACAATTTTATATCCCAACATTCTATGATTCTAATATTCTTTGCAAAGGAGTATTGCTCAATAATATTATCTTTCTACCTTTTATATTCTGTCCTTATAGTCCATGACTCTAACATTCCATGGGAGGCATATTGCTCAGTAAGTAGCAACCATCACAATGATGATAATCTTACATTCTATGGTTCTCTGTGTTCTCACTTTATAGGATGCTTGGTGCTAGTATTCTCTGCTTCTCACCTGGAATTGCACCACTTTCTCTGTGGCAAGGCATAAGTATGTGCCACCGCCTTCTGGAGGACCGCCTGGAAACTGGAATGCACACTTGTGCAGTTGGGAGATGGGCTCATCCACATCAAGGAGTGCACACTGTTTGGCTACTTTGCGGATGATCTGCAACAGAAGGGTGGTAGGAAGAGAGGTGGTAAGGTCCCTTGGTGCCCCGAGGCTGCCCTCCCAGCCAGCTGTCTGCTACTCTAATAGCCATATGGGCACTGCCCCTTGACCTCTGCTCAGTCCCACAAAGCACTGAATATCCCCAGAAAGAGAACCGGTGTCCTCATGCCTTGGGGCCTCATCCTCCAGCCCTTCCCATGTGGGCCATACCCTCTGCATGTACCTGGGGGTATTACTCTCCCTTCCCATACCATAGGAGGCAGTGTGATGCCGGTGACAGTGCAGACGAGCTGCACCAGGGAGCCATAGCGGATGTAGCCCTCTCGAGGTGGGAAGTCCCCTTGGGAACAGTGCCCATCAGCTGGGGGGTGAAAGAAAGGAAGGAACAAAGGTTTAGAGGGCCCCAAACTCCTGCCTCACATCCTACCTTCTTGCCTCTGGCTCCACCTCACATCACACATGGACCGTGGGAGAAGGGTTGGTGCTCACAGAAGCAGCTAAGACTGAAGTTCTAATCCTGGAGAGGTCACTTGTGGCCATCTGACACATCTGCCCCTTGGGGCAGGCAGCTTAGCTGATATGAGGGAAAAGGGAATAGATATTGGAGTCAGAACAATTTGGATCAGTCTCCGAATCATTGGGATCATGGGCAAGTCTTTCTGTGTTTCTGAGCCTCAGTTACATGGGGCAAAGTCACCTTCCTTGAGGAGCTGTGGTGAAGACTAAATAAGCTAATGCATATGAAGTGCCCAGCCCCGGGCCTGCCGATGTGATTACCCAGGTGCAGTGTGAAGGCAGCCCACTGTCTCGCACTGGCCACGAAGGCCCCGTCCTCCACAGAGAGGTAGCGTGTAGAGACTGTCTGAGATCGCAGGCGGTTGAAGAGGGAGACTTTTGAGCCCGAGGAAATGCATACTGTGAGGGAAGGCAGAATCAATGCCCTGGCCTGGCTTGGTGACTTGGGATTGCCAGATAATTTCCAATCCTCTGTCCTCTATGCCAGCCTGGCTAATATGCCCACTGGCCTAGACACACTGGGCACTGATATTTCACAGCTATTTATCTACTACCTGCTGTAGTCATGCTTCTGTATCTTTACCTGCTACTTTCTGCTACCTGGGAATCCTTCAGTTCAACCAGCAGAATTTTATCAAGTAGTCATTAAGTGCCTACTTTGTGGCAGACACTGTGTTTGGTACTGGGTGCCAAAGGGTGAATTAAGACCCAGCTTTGCTCTGAAGAGTTCACAGTCTTGGAGGGAAGTCCGTGGGCCATAAATATAAAATTTCAATGTGATGTGGTGAGGGCTAGGTGAAGGAGACCTTCTTACAGGAGGGCATATGCTCAGCTGTGGGGCAGGAAGTAGGTGGGAGTTGCATGGGAGGCTGCATAAGCAAAGACCATGTGGTGGGAAAGAGCACTACAGTATTTCTAGGGCTTGACATCTCTTCCAGCCTATTGCACATACTCAGAGCCACAAGTTTTGTTTTCTCATTGGACTTTGACCACTTGGGGAGAAAGCACTGGGTGGGTCATTTCCCTCTCTCCTCTCACAGTGCTGGACATACTATAGTTGCTCAGTTTATATTTAGTCCAAGTTCCCGTCCATTGAACTACAGCTAGCATTGAGTGTGTGCAGGCACTTTTCTAAAGACTTCAGGTGTATTAGCTCATTTGATTCTCTCAACAGCCCTCTGATGTAGATAATATTATGTCCATTTAAGAGAGCAACCTGCTCAAGATCTGCAGCTAGTAAGTGGCAGAGCCAGGAGCCCAGGATGCCAGCCTCCAGAATCTGTGCTCTTAGCCATTACACTATACCACTTACCCCTTCCTGGACCTTTCCTGATACCAAGAGCCAGCCAGAACACTGCCTGGATCTGAGACATTCTACCTCTTTTTGTTTGTTTGTTTTGGAGGCTGGCTGGTATAGGTATTGAACTCTGGACCTTGGTGTTAGCAGCACCACACTTTAACCAACTGAGCTAACTGGCCAGCTCATCTACCAGGTTTTTAACAGAGAGAAAGTAAGGGTGGTGGAGGAGCAGGAGCTGGGCACCGGAGTCACATTGACTCAAGTTCACTTCCTGGCTGGGCCACTTCCTAGCTGGGCAATCTTAGCCAAGTCCCCTGTAATGTGATAGGCCCAAATATTTCTTAAATGAATGGGTGAATGTTCCAAACCTCATTTGCCTTATCGATGACATAGGAACGATGATAGTACCTACCTCACAGGGACATGGTTGGCATCAAATAGGATACAAGTAATTGCTCGTCAGAATGTCCCCATCCCACCCCACCCCTTTATCTTACCTCCCAGTGATGGTAGTGGTGGTGGTGTCATTGTTACTCAGGCTTTTTTTTTCCGTATTCTTAGAGCCCCCAGCCCTGGGATTTGCCACTTGACATTCAGGACAGTACTTATCTCAAATCATCTCTTTGATCCGCTATGTTTGTGCTTTCCTCTATTTTATAGGGATCAAGTACCTAGCACAGAGTCAAGCATAAAGCAAGCACTCCATGACTATTTTTAACTGAATTTCCTCGCCCATTCATCGTCACTTTTCATCTGCTCCTAGTTCAGCACCTGCCGGCCGTTTTTGTCTGCTCTGGGCTTCCGACTCCCACCCTCAAGCCTGGCATTTGTCCGTCCCTTTCCTCTCCGCTTTTGCGGCTCTAAGTCTTTCTTTCCGGGGGCCTAAGCCGCACCCACTCCCCCAGACTCCGCCCCTCTCATTCCGACCCCACTCCTATAAATCCAGGCCTCCCCCGCCTCCCCGCTCCAGCAGCTCTTGACTTGGTTGCACCTCGCCTCCCTGCCCTGCGGTCGGGCCCCGCCCCCGCTCACGATCAGTATTTTTCAGCGATTGCTTCTTCTGCGAGGGCTTCGAGATGACCTTGATGAGGCGGCTGTGGAAGGTGCCCAGCTCCCGGCCCCCCGGGAGCACGAGCCGCAGCACCAGTCGGAAGTGCTTCCTCTTGTCTGCGTCCGAGATGTACAGGGTCTTGGCGCTTCCGAATTCCTACGGGGCTCGCGGGGATGGGGCCGTCTCATCCCAGCCCTCCGCCCCGCCGGGGGTAACCAGCCGGTTATCTGACGTCCGCCCCGTCGGAGGGGACAGGCCCGCTCCACGATCCGGGCTCTCGGGCTCGGCCTCAAGGCAGAAGCCCGGCCTCCCGGCTTCCCTGCCTATCTCGTGGCTTCCAGAGGGGAGTAAAGGAGCCCTGCTTTCCAAAGGAGAGGCAGGAATGGAAGCAGGAGTCGGACCCCCTTCCATGCCCTCTCACCCTGGAATCCGGCTGTTCCTCGAAATTCAACTTCTGAGTCTCGGCGGCGCTGCCGGACGCGCCATCCAGTCCCATGTAACCGCAGACCGTGGGCCCCGTCTCCCCTGCCTGCTGGGCTGGAAAGGGACGCGAGATGGCCCTGGAAGGACTCAGGAAGGATTCAGTGCCGGGCAAGCTTAGTTCTTGCCGCCAGAGGGCGCGGCGAGACTGCTCCTGCGAACCGCCCCGCTCCCAGGCCCTACACGGCGTGGTCTGACCTACGGAGGCAGATGGTCCCCAGCACTTGAGTCTTCCCTCACCTTGACCCTGCACTGGCTTCACCCTCCAGCCGGGACCGGCGAGGTAGACACAGGGTGGAGGGCAGAAGAACCTGCGGAGACATGTGAGTGCTGGACTCGTATATCCATCTCCACCTGACTGTCTTGTAAGCACCTCAAGGGACCACAAGCCCAACAGAAACCTTGATTCCTCCTCCCCCTCTTCTCAGGCTTCTCCATGACCGGTAAACCCCATCAACATCCAGCCTTTCTTCTTTTCACACTCCTCATTCAATCCATCAGTGAGCCCTGTCCGCTCTACCTTCAAAACCTATCTAGAATCCACTGGCTTCTTACCACCTCCACCTTAGTGGCAACCGTCCCCAGAGTCACTTTTTGCCTGGGCCACTGCATCAGCCTTCCTTCCAGCTGGTCTCCCTGTTTTCACTCTCCCCTTCAATTTGTTTTTCACATAGCAGCCAGAGTGCTTTTTTAAAAACATGAGTCAAATCATGTTACTCCTCTTCTTAAAATATTCCACTGACTTAAAAGTCAAAGTCCTCACATGATGTGGCCCCTGCTTACCTCTCCAACTTATTTCTGACACCTTCTCCCTCCTCTAATTCCAGCCATTCTGACTTCTTTTGTACCTAGAACAGGCCCAGTTGGTACAGCCTCAAGGTCTTTGGCATTTTCTGCTCCTTCTAACTGGAACACACTTTCCCCAGATTTTCTCATGTCTTGGCTCCATTTTAACATTCAAGTCTCAGTTCAGATGTCACTTCCTAAATGGCACTTTAAGCTAAAATACCCCCTCCCTCTTCAGTTTTTGTCACATTACCCTGTTCTACTTTCCTTCTAGTTCTCATCATAATCTGGAAATAACTTGTTTATTGATTTGTGTGGAGTTTACTGTGTCATCCACACTAGAGTGAAAATGCCACAAAAGTAGGGACTGTATCTGTCTTGTTCAGCTGTGTGCCCTGTGCCCACAGAGCCTGGCACATGAAAGCACTCAGTTTTTTGGTTTTTTTTTGGGGGGGGCTTTTGGCGGCTGGCCTGTATAGGGATCCAAATTCTTGACCTCGGTGTTATCAACAACCCTCTAAACAACTGAGCTAACTAGTCAGACTACAGTTGTTGAATGAATGAATAAATGGGTGAGAGAGTGAATGGATCGGGATGGGAGATTCACAGGGAGGTTCTGCTAGAACCAAAGTGGGGGCTAATGGTGGCTGGGGGAGAAGGCCCCTGCTGGCTCAATAGCTGAGGTCTCAGCCCTGAGACCTACCCCTGGGTCTAGAAGAGGCTAAATGGACAGAAGAGTGTACAGGGCTGAAGGCTGCAGAGACCTGGGAGGAGCTGCTGAGGCACCTACCTCTTCTCATTTCCATATGACTTCTGGGCCACCTTGGCATGCAGGATCCACACTGTCTGCTCGCACTGTTGCTGCAGGCACCTGCGCACACCTTCTCTCAGGATGGTGGCATGCTCTGGGGATGACCTGGGAGTGGCGGCAGGCCAGCCGGCCCACAGCAGGGAGAGTCAAGGGGCAAAGTGACACAGAGTCTGACCACTCAGGTTGAGTGAAATGAAGCAGGGAATGGGACCGGTCTATATTTTGCCCCTCAGGGTCAGCAGGGAGAAGTGTTAGGCAAAGGAGGGGACTTGGGTACAAGGTGTGGGCTAAATATTTGGGCTGTGCAGTGCTTAATGAGGCCTGCATGGAGTCCGCCAGGACCACCCAGGTGCCACTCTATGGGTCTGGCTTCAGGCCCATTGCAGCCTGAGGCCTTAGGAAGACGCTGCTGTCATACAAAGGCTGCACTTGTGCTGGGCCTGGGATGGAGACAGGGTAATGTGAGGGCTGACAGAATTGGTATTGGTTAAGTTTCCCCACCCCAGGGGAATGGCAGCAGGGGAACAGCCTTTGTTGGATCCCCTGCCCAAAGCACTCTCTCTCTTCCTGCAGGCAGATGCCTGCAAACATGAAAGGGCCCCAAAGCCATGTTCCCAGGAGGGGAGGGGGTGTGAGTACTTCTGAGGCCAAAGCAACACTCTCCCCCTTTTTCCTTGAGAAGGGGACTGTTGCTGTCTGTCTTCTCTTGATTACAAGGAATCAAGGCCGGTTACATTGGCCCTGCGGAGTGTGAGCCAGGCAGAGCCTAGGGGCCTGGTGGCTTCTCAGACTGGGAGTTTTGATGGGTGTGGGTGAGTGGGCCCGAAGCCTGCCTAATTTCAAGGAATATGTAAAGGAGTCCACGTAAAGGAGTCCGTGGTGGTAGAGGTTTGTGGGACTAGCAGGCTGGGATCCATGGAAAGCCACGAACCAAGAGCCATGAACTTCTGAGCCCTTTACCCTCTTGGCAGGGGCCTCTCCTCAGTCCTGGAAGGGACAGTTGAGGGCAAGAGTTGGTCTGCGCCCTCGGAAGCAGAGCCAGGCAGTCGGCGGCCAGAGCCAGGACCGCTCCGCCCGTGGGACTCTCCTGGGAAAGTGTCTCTAGGCTTCCAGTGCATTCCGGCTGAGGAGAGTGTCGCCGCCCCAGTCTCCAGCTGTAGCGGAATTCCCGTCCCAAAGTTACCATCTGCGGCCCCAAGGGTGGCAGGAGCAGGGGGCGCCGCGCTCGCCCCGCCCCAGCCCTCGGAGGAAGGGAGGTTGGATGTCTCCCTGCCGGTGGGAGGGGTCGCTGTTCGCGCTCCCCCTCCCCACCCGCCAGCCTGAGTTAAATGCGGCCGCCGCCTCTGCTTGCTCCAGCTGCCTGGCAGTCCCCACCTAGGGCACGCTGCCCACGCAGTTACCTGGTCCAACTGCCCGGGAGGCTCCGCCCGTCGGCTCCGCTCTGCAGCCGCGCCTCCAAGCTGTCCGGCAAGCTCAGGTGAGTCAAAGGGCCCGGGGGCGCTGAGGGGTCTGCAGGGGAACAGGCGTCAAGCCAGACCGGTGACCAGGCGACCGTATGTAACTGCGGATGCACCACCTACGGTGCCCCCAACTGACCTGCAGTGACTTTCACCACTTCTGAAGGGTCTTTTCCAAATTGAGCCCCCACCAGGAAGGCCGCCCGAATGGGGTCCCTCCAGGAACTTCCAGGAACGTCCCCAAGGTGTTCATTCCTCGGGCAACTCTTGACGAATTGTTTACAGACCTCCTCTCCCGCCCCCGCCCCCTCCCGGGCATCTCCAAATTTTTCTCTTTAACACAAGGATTAACCCCTCAGAGGAGTCCTGGGTTCTCCTGGCAGCCCTGCCACCTAGTTTCTGTGTGACCTTAGGTGAGACAATATCCTCTCTGGTCCTAACTCTTTCCTCTGTAGAATGAAGGGGTTGGAAAGGCGATAAACTTGAGGCAGTTGCTATTTTGACTTTTTAGGATTCCTAGGGTGGTGGTAGGGCCAAGTGAGATGTTGGCTCGGGCCAGGAGCAGGATAAAGGGACATTAATCAAGATCTGGGGCCCAGAGGCCCCTGCGGGTGGCAAAGGCCCCTCGTGCCCTTACCCCCATGCTACCCAGGGGGGCTGGCCTCAGCCATGGCCCAAGCTAGAGAAGGCATTCCCCACCCGCCCACCTCCACCAGCAGCTGGCACATCTCGCTTAGTCGCCCTCCCCCCGCCCTCGGGCCCTGCCAGAGGGATTTTTATTCCTCTACCAGGCCTAGAAGACGTAGGGGGAGAGAAATCCGGGACGGGAAGGCCTCCTGGAGGGAGCGGCAGGCACCGACCTTGCTGAGAATAGGCCTATTCACGGAATTGGAGGGCGGGGCTGCGGTTGGTTAGGGGCGGCTGGCCTCCGCCGAGACACAGCAGCAGAAAAATGGCTAACGCAGCCTCAGCGTGGGGGCGGGGTGGGGCGGGGGTAAGGAATGCAAGGAAAAGAGGTTTAGTGACTCCTGGGCCCCAGGGGCCAGGCAGCTCAGGAGGAAGTGGAGCTGGGAGTCCCAGGCTCTAGTCCTGCCTTCGCAGCCCGGCGGGCCGGCTTCTTGGGCCTCAGTGTTCCCATCCGTACAGTGGGGTCCTTAGTGATTTTCAAGGGGCGTCGCCGGGGGCCGCGGGAGGGTGGGTGCTCACCTGCTGTCCCCACAGGGTCCATGGCCGCGCTCCGAGGCCAGGCCGCTCATTCGCCGCCCTCTAGGCACGTCCAGTGCCGTCGTCCCCGGAACCTTGTACACCCTGGTCCGTGGCCCTCGCGCAGGTTATAACCTGTCCAGGCCTTATCACCAAGGCCCCGGGCCTCCCGGCCTCCTGTTTGCTCTGGGCAGGGGCACCTGCTGGGCAGATGTGGGCTTCCCACGGCCACCTTGCCGTCACAGCCAGACCCGGGCAGGCGCCCCCTGGCGGCCTCTCCTCAGAGCCGTCGGGAAACGGAGGCGCCAAGCCGCGGCTTCTGGTGCACGGTGGGTCTTGGCACTCACTGTCCCACCCCACTCCCACTCAACCCCGAGAACAGGCGCGGCCCTTCCCCGCCACCTGCGGTTGGGCGATGCATGTCTGTGTTTGTGCGTGTATATGAGTCGGGAGTGGTCCCAAGGACAGTCACACAGAAGGTCCTTGTGTGCGGAGGGGAGGGGACCGAGGTGGGGAATGGCTTCCGTCTGCAGAGCTTCGCCTCGCGGGAGAAGAGGGCACCGAACACTGGCTCACAGAACCAGATGGGTGTAGAGCTGTATCCTGGCGGAGCCACTTCCTTGCCGCACGACTTTGGGTACCAGCGCTGAACTTCTCTAAGCTTCAGTTTTCTCATCTGTATCGTGGGAACAATAACAACCTTAGTCTCAGAATTGTAGAGATGATTAAATGCCACAATGCATGAAAAGCATTTAACACTATGCCTGGCATTTAGCAAAGGCTTTTTTCTTCTTAAATTTTGTATATATATTTTTATTTTTTCTTCTTTTAATACAGTTTTAATTGTATATATTTGTGGGGTACAGTTCTATTGTTCTAATACATGCATATATTGTACAATGATTCGCTTAGGCTAGATAGCATGCCCATCACCTAAACATTTATCTTTTCTTCGTGGTGATTATGGCCAAGATCCTCATTTCCAGCTACTTATTATTAAGTCTAGTCAGCCTAGAATGCCAGAACTTATTCTTCCTGTCTACCTATAACTTTGTACCTGTTATACATTTTGTATATTCTTATCTACTTTTTATTTATTTACTATTCTGCAGTTCTACAAAGCGTCTCTTGTGTTTCCCAGCAATCCCACTGGGATAAAAGTTTTTAAAATTATGAAACATTTCAAACATACATAAAAAATAGAGACATTAGCAAAATAAACCCATCACTCTCTCCCCCTTCCAGGTGCTCATCGCCCAGAATAAGAGCCCTGTAAATACTGAGCCCCATAAATATTTCTTTACTATTTTCCTTCCCCATCCAGGCTCTGACACCTTTCTCTGTCCCCAAGCAACATGAAAGTACTTCTTTGCTTGCCACTGACCATGCTGCTGCTGCTTTTCCAGCCCTGGGAAACCCAGCTTCAATTCTCAGGTGAGCTGGGGCCCAGCCCTCACCTGTGGGAGGAAGGGAGCAGAAGCAGGGTCTCCATCTGCAGCCAGGTAGGCCTCCTGGGGAAAGAGAAGCCAGGGCTTTGGAACATACCAGGCTGGGTTTGAGTTCCCCACTTCACCTCTCTGACCCCCAGTTTCTTCATCTGTAGGATGTGGTTTAGTTTTCGGCTTATGCAGAACTGCCCATTTGGTGTTTGATTTTGAAAAATTAATTGAAAATGTAAAATGAAAAAATCAGGAGATTTCACAGGAAAATCCCAATTTCGGACTTCTCTTGAAAAATCCAAGCATCTGCTAACAGCCAGTCCACATGGCCACGTGGCAACATTTGTCTGTAGCTGCCCACTTTTGGGTGTCCATGGTCCTAACCCAACCAGTTCACTCATTTATGTTGCCTGCCTGGCCCCTATAGGCATTTGAGTTTGCAACATCTCCTCCTGCCCGCCCCCTCCCCCAATAGATAACTCCCCAAAATAGCCCTCAGAGCTGTAGGATGGGGGATTTGTGAAATGTCCTAGCTCAGATCTTAAAATGCTGGATGAGTGAAGGTATCTAATCTGCCTTTGCTAGGTTCATTCTTTTTTTTTTGACCGGTAAGGGGATCGCAACTCTCGGTAAGGTGTGGTCTGCACCACGCTCAGCCAGTGAGTGCACCGGCCATCCCCATATAGGATCCGAACCCGTGGCCTCGGCACTACCAGCGCAGCACTCTCCCGAGTGAGCCACGGGGCCGGCCTGCTAGGTTCATTCTGTGCTAGGTGCTGTTGTGCCAGGATAACACCATTTCCCCTGGGTTTCTCTGGGGGTCACCTTAGACATGAGGCATTGCTGGCCTAGGAAAGTCCTCCCTGATCTCCCTGCAGGTCCCAGGTGCCATGCTGGGCCCCTGGATTTGGTGTTCGTGATTGACAGCTCCCGTAGTGTGCGCCCCTTCGAGTTCGAGACGATGCGGCAGTTTCTGGTGGGCCTCCTCCGCCGCTTGGACGTGGGGCCCAATGCCACGCGTGTAGGCGTGATCCAGTATTCGAGTCAAGTGCAGAGCGTCTTCCCGCTTGGTGCCTTCTCACGCCGCGAGGACATGGAGCGAGCCATCCATGCTCTGGTGCCACTGGCTCAGGGCACCATGACCGGGCTGGCAATCCAGTATGCCATGAACGTGGCCTTCAGCGTGGCCGAGGGCGCCCGTCCACTGGAGGAGCACGTGCCACGGGTTGCTGTCATCGTGACTGATGGGCGGCCACAGGATCGCGTAGCCGAGGTGGCAGCGCAGGCCCGTGCTCGTGGCATTGAAATTTATGCTGTGGGGGTGCAGCGCGCAGATGTGGGCTCTCTGCGCACCATGGCGTCGCCCCCTCTGGACGAGCACGTGTTCCTCGTTGAGTCCTTCGACCTTATTCAGGAGTTTGGCCTGCAGTTCAGGAGCCGGCTGTGTGGTGAGTTAGGGGGGTGCTAGAATGAGGCTTAGACTCTACAGCTGCTCGGATTCCCATTCCCCTCACAGTAAATCCCATCCCATCGGGCGTGGCCCTGCGGATTCAAGCTTTACTCCACCCACCAGGCAGAGTCCAATTGCTCCAGCCTACTGCAGATTGTGTCATATTCCAGCTGTGGCCACTTTTGCTTAGGCTCCGTCCACAAGGAGCAACATTTAGCTTGCCCTGCCCACCAGGATGAGCTAGCTGTTGTGGTTTACCACAGGCTTACTGTCAAACTCTAATACCAGCCCCCTGAACACAAAGAAGCCCTGCCCCTTAAAGCTGAGGGGAATCGCCTGCTTCAGTCATGCCCCGCCCACATGGGCATGACTCCTCCCACTTTCATCTTAACTCGTCCTACAAAGGCTGCAAGATCTGTCTTAGTCATATTTTGAGTTATTCCTCCAGCCTTGATTTAGCAGCTCTTCACCTCCCTACCCCACCCTACCCCTCTGTAGTCCTGCCATATCCCACTGACACATCTAGTCGGGGGCCCCCTCTTGTGGGCCCGATCACAGGGGCTACCCAAACCCTATTCTTTCCCAGAGCCCTCTCCTGTGGACTGGCCCTTCTCAAATGAGTTCATGTCCCACCTAAGGCCATACTTGAGGATGGTGCCTGCTTCTGAGCCCATCCCCATCCAGCTATCGCTTGTTGGAGGCTTCTGTCCATCTGTCCCCTGCTGATTCTAGTTCTATGTGTCCTCAGGGAAGAACCTGTGTGCGGAGAGGGGACACGGCTGCCAGCACCAATGTGTCAATGCCCTGGGCACATTCCACTGTGCCTGCAACCCTGGCTACAAGTTAGCAGCAGATAACAAGAGCTGTTTGGGTGAGAGCTACCCCTGCCCTGCAATTTCACTGCACCTGAACCTTCTTTGGCTCCTCATTGCCCCGGCATCAGACAGATGAGTCTGGAAGGGCCTTTGGAAGTAAAAACCCACCTCCTTTATGTTACAAGCCTAAGAAAGAGGAGGTATTTCCTGGGGTCACATAAGTCCTTGGTGGACCAAAGTTAGAAATCTTGACCCTGCGGTTAAGCGGACTTTCTACCTCCTTTTTCCCCTTTTTTTTCAGGCCAGTCTCCTTCCTGGCTCCAACGCACCTCCCAAACTTGTTTGTCTTCTCACAAGCACATCCTTAGAGTTTCTGTTATTTAGGCACTGTTGGGGGGTCTTCAGTTGGGTGGATCTCCGCCACATGCGCTCATTCCTGCCTCTGCACCTCAGCTCTTTCTGTGCTGCTCACTCGGGCCCTCCTTGCCATTCCTCTTTGCTTCTGCAAATCTTTCAAGATCTGGTTTTTCATTTCCACCTTCTGAAAGCTATGGCGCACAATGCCTTGCTTACATAATTGGGTTTTTCTTTTTGGTGTGAATGTGTCTCTAGTCTTGTGATCGTAGTTGCAGCTATCGTTTACTGAGTGCCAAGTTAGTATCAGGCATTGTGTTAGGAGCATTACACGTGCTATCTCTCAGCCTCACAACAACCTGGGAAAAGAGGTCATGTGATCCCTATAACCCAAATGTCAGCTGGAATAACCCAAATGTCAGCTGGGGTTCCTAAAACTTAAAAAGGTCGGCTTGAACTCCCATGTAATGACCACGAAAGTCAAATCTCTCCCCAAGATCTCTGGGAATTACCCCAAGGACTTACATTCTGGTAGTCACCTCTATAACCCAAATGTCAGCTGGGGTTTCTAAAACTTAAAAAGGTCGGCTTGAACTCCCATGTAATGACCACGAAAATCAAATCTCTCCCCAAGATCTCTGGGAATTACCCCAAGGACTTACATTCTGGTAGTCACCTCTTGCTGTGAGCTGATGCTTAATTCATTTGATATATGGGTCCTTTCTCTTTTTTTCAGCCCCACAATGCTGTTATTGTCCTGTGCATGTATATCAGCCTCTTGTTTGGTTTACACACTTGTGCACACCAGGGCCTGTATGTGTACGTGTAAGTGTTCATATGTCCATTTTACTAAAGATGGGAGTAAACAGAAGTATGACTTACATCTAGATAGCTAAATATACACTCATACACAAGAAAAAGAAAAAATCATTATAATTGAATATTTGACACTCTTGTTTCTAAAGTCCTTAGTCAGACCACGACAGGGGGTTTTTCACTGGCGGCGTCAACCCACAGAGTTTCTCATCTTCACACCATCTCTCTTATTCTCTTTTTACCTCTCTTCACCCCCATCTCTTTTCCAAGAAGCCCAAATTCTCACTTTTTTTGTACAGGGTAATACTCCTCTCTCCTGTCCCTACTCCACAGCTCAGCTCATGACTGTCTTTGAACATCCAAACCATCCAGATTCTCAACAGGGCCAATAGGTCTCCACCCTCCTTAGATGGAAGTTGTAAATAACAATTGCTCTCTTCCATTATATTCCCATTTTGCAGATGGGGAAATGGAGGCTCAGATAGGTAAAGTGGCTGAGACTGGTCCTGCCCTGTAAGTCAGTGAGCATCTGGAGAACAGGGGCCCTACAACTGCACGTTCTCGTTCTTATGCCTGGCTCAGTAGTGGGCATGTTGGCTCTCGGATGCACCTAGGGTTTGAGTTGGGAGGGTCACCTGGCCCCACAGGAAGAAGGCTTATGCTTATGGAAATTACAGATGGATGGGTACCACTGCAGATGAATTAAGTCAGGATATTTGGGTTTGGGCCCAGGCATAGGTATTTTTAAAAAAGCTCCTTGAGTGGTTGCTCTGCCAGGGCTGAGAAGTACAGCCCTGGGCATAGACCGATTTCATCTCTTCTTCAGCCATTGACCTGTGTGCTGAAGGGACCCATGGCTGTGAGCACCACTGCGTCAATTCCCCGGGCTTCTATTTCTGTCACTGCCAAGCTGGCTTTATACTGCAGCAAGACAAGAGGAGCTGCAGGGGTGAGTAAGCTCCCTCACCCTGCAAAACCAGCACCCTGGACTGAGGCCTCTGATGGCTCCAATCAAAGGTGACATCTTGCTGTTTCTTCCTTCCCACCAGCCATTGACCACTGCAGCTTCGGGAACCACAGCTGCCAGCATGAGTGTGTTAGTACCCTTGGTGGGCCACAGTGCAGCTGCAGAGAGGGCCATGACTTGCTGCCCGATGGGAGGAGCTGTCAGAGTGAGGCGGGGTCTCCTACATTTGTGCAGAGGGGTAGGGAAGCTTAGCTGGTGGGGTCCACCCTGACCGGTCTCTTCTTTCAGTCCGGGACATTTGCAATGGTGTGGACCATGGCTGTGAATTCCAATGTGTGAGTGAGGGCCTCTCCTACCGCTGCCTGTGCCCTGAGGGGCGGCAACTGCAGGCAGATGGCAAGAGCTGCAACCGTGAGTTATAGGTGGGAGGGTGTTCTGCTTGCTTCTGCCCCATTGCCCACATTCTGAGCATTCTTGTCTTTGCTGTTGCTGTGACCCAAGGATGTGGTGTGAATGTGTGTGTTGGGGTGGGGGTATATTGGAGGATATGCCATGCCCTGCCTCCCCTCAATCCTCTACCCTGCTGCCAAGGTTAATTTAAAAAATACGTATTTGATCACATTACTCCTTTGCTCATAATCCTTCTGTGGCTCATCCGTGCCTACAGAATAAAGATCATATGTCTTATCCCTGAGTTTTTCAAATGATGGGTATAACCACATTAGTGGATAATGAAATCAAATTGGTGTGTTACAACCAGTGTTTAAAAAAAGAAAAGAATGGAAGAGAAAATAGAGTTTATTGCATGCAGTAGTGTTTCATGAAACTTAAATATAGCTATATGTGAACATATGAAGTGTGTCGTTTTGTATTAACATTACTGTTGTTGTTGTTGTTGTTGTTATTATTATTATTTTACTGTGGGTTGTGGTCAAAATTTTGAAACCACCACCTTAGCTCATTGCAATCTAGCTTCAGCCAACCACATCAGCCTGTCTCCTGCCACACTTGAACATTTGAGTCATACTGGCCTGCCCCTTCCTGGATGTGCCCAGAGCTTCCCAGCTCCCATGCCTCTGCACATGCCATTGCCCCCTTTCTAGAATGTCCCTTCCTGCCTTGGCAAACTCCTACTTATCTTGGAGACTGTCTTGGTCCATTCAGACGGCTATAACAAAGTACCGTAGACTGGGTGGCTTAAACAACATTTATTTCTCACAGTTCTGGTGGCTGGGAAGTCCAAGATCAAGGCGCCAGCAGATATGATATCTGGTAGGGCCCATTTTCTTGTTCATAGAGGACAGTCTTCTCACTGTGTCCTCACATGGAAGAGAGAGGAAGCAAGCTCTCTCCAACTCTTATAAGGAAACTAATCCCATTCATGATCGCTCCACCCTCATGACCTCATCTAATCCTACTTACCTCCTAATGACGCTACCTTCTAATGTCATCACATTAGGGGGTGGGTTTTAACATATGAATTTTGGGAGACACAATCATTCAGTCCATAACAAAGAGCAAATTGCATGTCACCACCTCCATGTAGCCTTTCTTAACAATTCTAGGAAGAATGATATATTCCTACCTTGGGTTCCGTATATACCCCTCTCTTCTAGCACTTTCCTTGACTGTAGCATATGGCATATCTGACTTGCTCTATTCTGGCTTCCTTATGGATCAGGATTGTTTTATTTATTGATGAACCCATTTCAAAGTCTAGCGAAGTCCTTGGCTCGGAACAGGGGAGGTAACATTGTAGAGTGGTGAGGAGCATGGGCTTGGAGTCAGACAGACCTGGCTTCAAGTCCTGGCACAGTTAGCTGTATAGAATCTGAGGCAAAGCACTTTCTCCTTCAGAAACTCAGACTACAGAAAGTGGGGATAATACCGAAAGTTGTTGGGAGGACTGAGAATTTAGACAGGTAGTTGAAAAATTTCATGGAAAAATGGAATTAAAATATGAATCTTTCCATGAACTTTTTGAAGACCTCTTGTATAGCAACACCTAGGTCAGTGCTTGGCACATGGTAAACTGTCAGTAAATAACATTTTTGTTATTACTATTATTAATACTGGTACAGTGCTTAGAATTGTGCCTAATACGTAGTATATGATCAATAAATGGTAGCTATTGTGCTTATTCTTGTTGTTATTAGTATTTTAAAAGATGCTTTTAGTAGAGTGACCAGTTTGTGTGAAGCACTCAATAAATGTCAAGGGTGATGATATAATGATGATGATGGTGATTATTATTATTTAGCACATTATCAGGCATAGCAAGGACTCAGTAAATGGTATCTGTTATACAGTAAACGATTATATTGCGAATGCAGGACTAGATGGATAGATAGATGCTGCTAGTCAGGGACCATCCGTCCAAGCCCTTCTCACTGTGCAGGGTGCCGGGAAGGCCACGTGGACCTTGTACTGCTTGTAGATGGCTCCAAGAGCGTGCGCCCGCAGAACTTTGAGCTGGTGAAGCGCTTCGTGAACCAGATCGTGGACTTTCTGGACGTGTCCCCCGAGGGCACGCGCGTGGGGCTGGTGCAGTTCTCGAGCCGCGTGCGTACCGAGTTCCCACTAGGCCGCTACGGCACCGCAGCCGAGGTGAAACAGGCGGTCCTGGCGGTGGAGTACATGGAGCGCGGTACCATGACAGGACTGGCGCTGCGCCACATGGTGGAGCACAGTTTCTCAGAGGCGCAGGGCGCACGGCCCCGTGCCCTCAACGTGCCTCGTGTCGGCTTGGTCTTCACTGACGGACGCTCACAGGATGACATCTCGGCGTGGGCAGCACGCGCCAAGGAGGAAGGTGGGCTTTGCGTGGGACAGACTGGGTTGGGGTTGGACATGGGGAAGCACCTTTCCCGAGGCCCAGGACACCCTCTGAGTCCCCCGGCATGCAGGCATCGTCATGTACGCCGTGGGCGTGGGCAAGGCGGTAGAGGAGGAGCTGCGCCAGATTGCCTCGGAGCCGGCCGAGCTGCACGTGTCTTACTCCCCGGACTTCAGCACCATGACGCATCTGCTGGAGAACCTCAAAGGCAGCATCTGCCCCGGTGAGCACATCTCGCTCGGGACTCCTCCCCTTCTCTCCACTGCCCAGCCTCCGATATCTCCAGTTCTTATTTACCCCACCCCCACCCCTTTGTAGAGTTGTAGCCAAGGGATGGGCTCACTACACAGAGCCTTGTTCTTTAAAGTGAGGTCTGCTGGACCAGCAGCAGGATGGTCACCTGGTAGCTTGTTGGAGCTGAAGCATTTCCGTTGCTCTCCAGACCTAATGAATTAGAGTTTGCACTTTAACAAGACCCCTCAGGTGATTTGTAAGTATATTAAAGTCTAAGAAGCACTAGACTAGGCTACCTGTCCCCCAGATTACTGAATGTTCAGAATAGTTTGGGAACTTTTTAAAAAGGCACACCAGACTCAGCATTTGTAAGTAAAATCATGGAATATATTATTTGAACTTGTTGGAATTCAACTTTATGGACTTGGCAAAGTGGCAGGACTGAGCATGTTTTAAGTACTCAAAGACATGTATGTTTTTGGACAACCTAGGCCATAGACGAAATTCACCTACTAGGAAAAAGGTGCCAACTCTAACTGTGGAGGAGAAGCAGCCTGTTGAACCATGTGTAGTGTGCTGTATAGGTGGTATGGGGAATTTCTCAAGGGCAATTTTTACCATAGGGTCTTCAGGCTATAATCCAGGCTTAAGATGTGACTGTTCTTTCAGATTATCAAGCTTCACCTGCAGAGATAGAGTGGGGTAGAGCTTTGGTAGAGCTGGGCTGGGCATACAGAACCTGTAGTTTTTTTTATATATACATATGTGTGTGTGTATCTGTATACATATATACACACACATTTTTATCTATTTACCTTTTTTCTCTCTCTCTCTCTCCAGGCTAATTCTAATTATTGTCCAGGGTATTGTGATTAGCTGTTAGCTGGCACTGGATTAGCTATTCTTTCAGGGCCCTTCCTGTCCTTACTCTATGTCCCCAGCAGTGTGACTTTGGACAGCTCACTTAACCTGCACTCCTATCTTAAGTTTTGTCTTCTGTATAACAGGGGAGGGTGGCTGCCCAAGGTTGCCTCCTGCTCTAGAATTCTAAGAGAAGCCTGGGCTCTGTTGTTGAGATCTTCACTAATTGGCTGTGTGACCCTGGGAAGACCCTCCCCTCTCTCTGACCCTTGGTTTTTCTGTCCATGAAGTTAAGGTTTATTGTTTTATATATTGCTAAAAAAATGGGTGCCAAATTTAATTGTAAGACTTCCTTTCCTTTCTTTCTTTTTTTTTTTTTTTTTTTTTTTTTCTTCAGAGATGTTAAAATGTGTGGGGAGATGGACTTGGGTCAGTGGTC